TAGGGCCTTTAGAGCCATAGAATACCTTTTTCAGATATCCTTTCTCTAGTCCAAGATTTTCACAAAACAGATCAAGAAGATGCTCAGCCAATTTCTCTAGTTGTGCTGCAAATTCCTGCATAGTCTTCCTGTTTTCATTCATAAAAGATTCAACTAAGATTGAAAATGGCAGATAATATAAAAATTACTTATGAAAACTGATTAACTAACGTGTATTCATCTTCAAGATGAGGGACTATGTATGTTAAGTTGCAAAGTAACATAACAAATTATATTTCATAAAGAGAACGAGTATTCACATTCCTTTCAGGCATTTCCTGAAACACTCTCACTGCATCTCCCAAATCCTCACACTTTATGCACAAGATTCCAAATCCCTTGTGCAGCATAACCCTCACCAACCTTAAGTATGTACTGGTCATCACCGTAGGATAACAATGTTAGTACAAGAGTAAACAGAAATATAAATGCTACAAGCAAGATTAAAACCAACAAGTGCATTACAAAAAATAGTTATGCCCAAGTCAATGCCAATTTACAAATTACTAGAGATACTGCTAGTTACTATGGTGAATCTTTGATAGCAAGGTTGGAAAAATAGATTTATTAAAACCAAAGTGACGTGAATTTCAAAACTTTTATAGTTTTGAGCAAAATTCAATAGGTATAATGGAGTATACTTTCATTAAATGGGAGCCTAGAAAGTGGGGGGCCAGGCTAGGAAAAATGAATCTCGTATACCATAATCCCATGAAGAAGTCTACTGCCTATACAATTAAAGAAAAGAAGAATAAAGACAACCTAGCAAAAACATTCTTCCTTGATGTTAAAGCAAGAACAACACAGCAAGAGCTAGATTCGAACAAACATGTAAGGATACCTAATTAATTCACAACATTAATCAGGATAATACAGCTGATGAAGCCGGCCATTGAAATTCAAATTCAGAAATAATTACAACCAAATTTAAATGACTTTTCACGAAATTCAAAATCAGTAAAAGATAAATTCCAATCCAGAATAAACCCAAACATAAAATAAAATCCAATACGTACGCAGCGTCAGTGGGCTGGTCGTTGCCGCCTAACTTCAAATCAACTGCCTCTAGCATTCTGCTGTGCCTGAGCAAATCATGGGCCCGAATGCATTAAGAGCCGATCTTCCCCAACACACGCCCTCTAACTACACCTTAAATTCATGAAGTCTCTACTGGGTTTTCCTATTTTCCAAAATAAATATCTAAAAAAAAAAACAGCATATTGATTAATAAGAGGGATAGTGAGAGTGGGAAAACCTGATTGAAAGAGGCAGTAGAAAACCCGCAGATTTGGCAACATGAGCTCAAAGAAATTTTGGACTGTGGCTTTGTGAGATTGGAAGAACCAAAACGTAGTTTTGAACGTTTTCAGTTTTCAGTGTTATTTTTTTTTCGAAAATAGGAAAGAGAACGCGTTTTCATTGTTTTGGAAAACTGAAAATAGAAAACGTTTCGAAAACGATAAAGAGAACAGGGCCTTAGAAATTGGACATAATAATGAGAAAACATCAACTCATAAAAATGACAAAAAAGAAACTCTTAATTGTCTATAAATAGTGTCATTTACACATCTAATAAAATGATTGAAAATCTAAGATTCAATTTTTTATTCTAAAAGGGCGTCTCGAATCAAGGTGCGATCAAAGGCCAGCATTCTTGAAAATCTTAACATTTACGGATTGAAGTGCAATTTCCGACCAAAATAATGCCGAAAACTCCATCTCTCTTCTTTTATACAAAGAACTTATCCAAAAACACATCCAAAACTCTCCCAAAAGGGGAAAAATCCTGTCAAAATTTTGAAAGAAAATTCTACTATTGCTTTAAAAAAATTTCTATTTTTTAAGGTCAACAGTCACAGAGTAAGAATGAAGAGTGAATTTGACATTCTCTATTTTAAAAAGTTAAAATGAATCTCTTTGATATGCTCTTATGCTTCCCTGCAAACGCAAGTATTGGTCAATGTTTTTATTACCAATAATTTTTTGTGTAGGTCAAAAATTAATTTTTTATAGTTATACTTAATTAGCATGCAATGTCGATGAATCAATATTCTTTGTTTCTCATGAAATGGCAGCGAAAACAGTTCAGTCCCAAGTAAGTGAAGTGACCAACACATGTTTTCGTTTGAAGTGACAAAATTTCTCAACAGAAAGACACAATTTCACAACCTACTCATTACATCAAAAACAATTAGTGAACTGGAACACACTCGAAATCAAACATGCGCACACACGTGTATATACAAATACTCGCGCATCCAAACTGGCATTATTCGACAAACCAAAGAGAAATGGAACACACTCGAAATCGTTCATTTGCAGAAACCGAGCTTCCGATCCCCGCAGCAAACCACAAGCGAACAAAAGGAACTGCTTCGCGCATGCATTATTCAACGTAATATTTCAGAACAAAAGGAAGAGTTTCTTGTCCTGCTTCTTGTTCTTGACCTGCTTCTTGACCTTTTTCACATTCAAGAAATTCGTCCACCATATAGCAGAGCTTTTCGGGAATCTTTTCAGCTGATTATTCTCAAAATCTACATGAATAATGCCAAACCTAACAGTGTACCCATCGGCCCATTCAAAATTGTCGAACATTGACCATAGGTAATAAGCCTTCACACGAACACCATGGCTGAAGATGAAAGCCGAAGTATGAACATTTATTTTGTTACAAGAATAGTCAATTAATTTCGCAAATTTACTATCTGGGTTGATTCAATAATTATATGAATGATTACTTACTCCAATGCCTTTTTAAGTTGGACAAGGTGGTTATGGTGAGACCTAACCCTCATATCATCAAACCGAGCTTGTGCAACTGTTGTTTTAGTATTCAATTCATTCACCCCTGCACATCATCCATTAAATCACATTTGTATTGATAAACAGTAAAAAATATTTTGTTGTAGAAAAACGTCTAACAAGATGCTGTGAACTTACCATTCTCTGTGATGTAAATATTGGGATTATTGTATCTTTCTTTCAAATGAACCAAGAGCTTGTAGAGCCCTTCTGGAACAATGTACAACCAACGAGAACCAGCCTGACAAAATCTAGGACATTAAAATTATAATAGAAACTTGTTGCAGTAATGCAGTAGAATATATCATTGAAATTTCTTCTGGGGGTAAAAATTCTGAGGAAGGGAAAAGTGACAAAAGTACCTGTTCACCTATGGGCGTCCCATTACGTTCAGCTACAGTGTATTGTGAGAGTGAGAACCACATTACAAGAGTGTAATGACATATAAAGTTTACGATGTTATCATGTACTTTAAAAATATCTCATACTTACTTGATGTTTGAACCTCGTGATCGTTATTGTAACTTGGTATTGCGCCAGGTGTCTTAGTTGAATTTGTGGCATAATGGGTAGTGTAATAGTTAATTCCTAAAAAGTCATAGGATCCCTTCACCAGAGTAACCTGTTCTGGTGTAAATTTGGGAAGGCGGTCTCTTATTAATTTTCTCATAACTGGTGGGTAATCACCAGTAACCACGGGTGCTACAAACCTGAAAAAGCACAAAACAGGATTGAGGCTTGCGACCAGGAAGAGAAATTAGAAATTAGAAATAATTTTTTGTCTCATTTAAATTCTGCCCAGTTTCCTTAAAATGATTGGCTATTCTTATTTATGAGAAGATATAGAAAATATAACTGGAAGTTACCATCCCAACGCAAAATCAACTGCCCTTGAAGCAGCCTCTTTATCAGCTGTTGTGTTATTGAGTGGCTCATACCATGCTGTAACATTTGTGACTCCTATCTTGCCTCCTTGAAGTTTCTATATAAATGTATTTGCATGAACTATTACAAAACCTCCAAAGTGAAAAGAATTACTTGCATAAGATAATAACAACCACCTGAAAGTCCTTCTTGTATATATCAACTGCTACTGCATGAGCAAGGATCAAATTATGTGCAACAATATACGGTTCCGTGCCTGGATTTCCATCGCCGCAAACGGTTGTATGCTGAACATTGCATCTATGAAGATGGACAGCTTTTGTTACTTGGTCATCTTGGGTTGGGCCCCTGCCAGGTGCAAAAGTACCGGACACATATCCGGAAACAGAAAAGCTCCATGGCTCATTCAACGTGATCCAATGTTTCACACGATCACCGAATTCCCAGAAGCAAACCTCAGCAAAATCAGAAAAATCTTTCCTATAATGCAATAATGTATCGAAATAAGTTTCATGGTGTAATACCTTTTAACTGCAACATTAGCTTACTCAATTTGCTTACAAGAGCTGAACTTGATAATACATAAATCCTGTTTCTAAAAAAAATATCCTTGTTTTCCTTGAATTTGCTTCATTTCCTGAAAACTCCCAAGTAATTTGTGCCTAGCTACGCAATTTTGAATTACTTACACAATTCGAGGGCTTAAAAAGCCACCATACTCGTCTTCCAAACATTGGGGAACATCCCAGTGAAAAAGAGTTGCACAAGGTGTAATTCCTGTAAAATAGTTTACAAGAATTCGAGGTAAGATATTTTATTGTTTTAATTCTGTTTTCTAATAAAACACATTAATTTTAACATTTAACTCGTGAAGTAAATAGAAACAAACACCAATTTTTAAAGATATATAACAACACCTTGAGCTAGGAGCAAGTTTATGAGATTATTATAGTAATTAATTCCTTCTCTGTTTACGCCAGCGCTTAATCGTCCACCTGAAATACCAATTTAAAATACCACTAAAAGATTGATTATTATTTTTGATAAAAAAAAAATGATGCACTATATGTACACATACATACATACATACATACATACCTGGTAATATTCTCGTCCAAGCAATTGAAAATCTATAAGAATTGAAACCCACTTTCTTTATCAAAGCAACATCTTCCTGCAGCATTATTGAAAATGAGTACAAAGAACAATTAAATTTAAATTACATTGGTTGCATTAATTTAGTGTTAAGGGGATAGATTTAGGATGATTATGATTTGTTGAGGATAGGATTAGAAAGATTTTACTACAGTAGATTATGGTTTAGTGTTATAATAGAACATTTGATGCTACACATTATCAAAAGAACATTTAAGTGCTGAAATACAAAAAATTATAACAGTATTATTTATTTAACTTAAAAACTAAAATAAAGTTACTTTTAAACAATTTTTGTCTCTAAATATGTTTGATGAGATACTTTTCTCTTCTTTTTTTTTTTTAAAAGAAAAAAAATTAGTTTTTCCAAAATTTAACATTTACTTTGTGTCAAAATAAAAAAAAATTTCCTATTTTTAACTCAGATCAACAAAAAATGTTATTTTATTTTAAACTTGCATGTTTACTTATAAGAAAATGCTCTAATTACTTGAAAATACTTATTTATATTTAAATGAATTTACTTATATATGTATAAGCAAGCTTCTTTTTAATAACTTTTCATTACCTTTAAATGAAAAATTTACACTCTTAAAAGTACTCTTATGGTATTGCACAAGATATATAAATAAATTTAACATTAAACCCTTATTTGGTCCCCATTATTTTCAAAATATATTTTTCTCTCTTATTTTCAATGACACATTTTTCAATAAAATAATATTACACGTAAATCTAAATTTTTTTCTTATTTTCTAACAACACATTATTCATCAAAATATTATTTCTAAATGCATACTTTCTAAAAAATGGGGCTCAAACAAGCACTAACCTTGATTATATAAAAGATTTTCCAAATTTAAAAACTTACATATAAACAATTTTTTACCTATAAGTGAACTTATTTGTTTATGTATAATTTTCTCATTATTATTCAATAAATAATTTAGTCTGAATCTATCTTATTAAGCGTTTTATTTTATTTCAAGTGAAAAAGATGAGCTCCGAATTAATTTGAGTCAAATGTTATTTACAATAGAACGATACAAGTTTAAATTAAGCCCTTGTTTGATTATACCGTAGTCGCTTTTGTTGACCAGTGAGACCCATTTGTTTGAAAAAAAAGGGTCTAAAAATACATTATTCTATTAAAATAATGGGAAACAAACGGTCCTAAATAAGGCCCGTCAAACGTTAAAGTTGGAATAAACATGCAATAGTAAAGTACCTTCCACTGATGGTAGTGATTAATAGCCAAACGCCCATGGCTTCTATCTTGAATTTTATCTGCCACCCCAAAAAAATCCCTCAGAAATGGATACATACATACACGTGTTTGTGTGATGCACGTACGTGTGTGTGTGTGTGTGTTTGTAGGGAGAGAGAGAGAGAGAGACCAGGATTATCCGCTGTGAAACGATCCCAATTACTCTCGCCTTTACCATCTTCATTCCAGGCACCTTCGACCTGGAAATATTATACATATGGCCCAGAAAACGAATTACATGTTAGAATCGACTCAATTAAAGTTATTTTTAATTGGTCAGCTGCTTTGAATAATATTATGTAGTGGGTGAAAAAACCTCTGCTAAATTTATGTTCGATGGTGTAGACTGCAGAGAGAAAAGCAGAAAAAGAGAAAGTGGTGCATGCATGTGCGTTGAGCATTCTAACCTTGGGTAGAGAGGCTAAGTGGCCAATTAAATTAATTTAAGTTTCTTTCTCGTTTTTCATTTTCATTATCATTGAATAATATTTTCGATTTCCGACTTCGTCCAACTAAATCGAGTGTTTGTTTGCACGTTTTTCCCCATAATTATTAGGAAGAGCACATGCAATTTAAATTACATGTGCATGAGCCTTCTCACATATACTTGCATTCTCAAGATTGTCTTAGCAACTCTTGTTATCTTCAAATCACTATTAATAGTTTGTTTAATAAGGTGAATATGTCCTTTAGGGGTGGCAACTACACCTTTTCTAAACCTAAAAAATATATATACACATTCGGTCATTTTCTAAAAGTGACAGGTGATTCGCCTCCAACACCGAATAAGTTTTTAACAAATGAGCATGAATCCATTTGTGATTGAAAATTTGTACTGGGATAATTGAAATTGAATGTTGAAGTAGAAATGAGAAGTGAATGTAAATTATGTAGTAGTGTAGAAATCGATTAAAAGTAAAATGTATAAGAGTATAGAATGATATTAAAATGTAGAGAGTAGAGTAGAGTAGAGTAGAGTAGAGAATTAGAGATTGATAGTAAGTTTGGTGGAAAAAAAAAATGGATAAATAGATGGGTATTTATAGGAGAAAAATGAAACTGAAAAAAAAAATTAATAAATTCATTGACCGTTTGGTCACTTTTTTTTTTACTTTTTATTTTATTATTATTTTTTTTTGTGAGCCACGAGCCGAGCCAACTCGTGGCACTCATATTACATGAGCCCACGAGCCTAGCTTGTCGAGCAGCTCGTCTATATAATGCAGCTCGCCTAGCAAGCTAGCCTGCTCGGCTCGTGCTCGGGCTCGTCATTTTGACGAGCCCGAGCGGCTCGTTTTTTTACTTGCCTAGCGGCCAAGCCGATGAGCCGCTCGGCTCAGTTGCCACCCCTAATGTCCGTAGAGTATTAAGAAAGAAAAAACAAACTAAAATTATCATCACGTGTGATAGATAACGCATTAAGTACACACCTGATAAGCTGATGTTGCAGCACCAAAGATAAAATCTTTTGGAAAATCAGAGCGACGAACTTTGGGTGTAGTTGGACCTTGGGGGGCAGTGATACGGATGTCATGATTATGCAGAGGATCAACGTTGCTTTGGTTCTCCATTGCTAGCTACAAATGAAAATTAATCAAGGACAAAGTCAAATGAAGAGAAATGTACCTACAAATGTAGGTATATCATTGATTATATACTACTATTTTGGAAGAGGTCGGGTTTAAAGATATGAACATCCCAGGAAAGAAGATGATAAGGGTGCGAAGGGTTGGATTTAGATATGTTTTTTATGTATATCAATTGTTTCGAAGGTCCAACTCCACCGCCTGACTTCTCAAATTTTGTTTTCTTCCTAACTTGGGTATATCATTGATTACATACTACTATTTTGGAAGAGATCAAGTTTAAAGTAGGGCTGAACAATCCAAAATCATTTTTTTTTTTTTTTGAAGAGTTGGTTTGGCTCCACGTGGATTCGTCGGCATTTTTTGTTTAGAATCGGACCAAACTGCTTCGAAATAGTTTGCTTTAGGTTTCGATATTTGTAAACCGTCAAATCGTTTACACAAAAAAAAATAAAAATTGAAAATAAATTAGTCCAAATTTTATCCAACCCAATTAAAACTAAACAACCAATTAAAAAGATACCCCCATATTTGATTTAATTCAATGAAACTCAATGCCTAAATAGACAATTATACATCTCAATTAATGAATTAAATCATATCCAAATATACATCCATCATCACAACTGTTTTCGTAAAACTCTCAAATTGAGTAAAGTGTTGAACTGCCAACCATATTCATCGACCCTTTATGAAAATTAAGTAAATTATTAAGTCTAGATTTTAATTCACACTTCACATTTTGTTACCTTCTACTAATAATTTTCTTGAATTTTGCCTAAATTTTCATTCGGTTTATCAATTATTATTTTGGGTAATTGTTTGCTATGTTTTTATTGGTAGTTATGCTATTTTGTTCTAATTATTGTCGGGCTCCCTTAAATTTTTAGGTGACAGGGTCTTTTATTTATTTGCGTCTCAATTTCATAGTCAAGTCACTCAATTAATTATTTATATTTTAACTTAGTATCTAAATTTTACTGTTAACTGCTAGAATGATTTGATGGATTACTTCAATGATAGTGAAAATTTGACCAATGAACGTTTCGACATATTATTTAGTGGAAATTGAATGCAAATAAATACAAAATTGTTCTTCAAATTGTTAAAAATGTATTAACTATTCAAATATCCACAATTATTTCTGAGTCTACATTCTTTATTAGTGGTCGAATTCTTGATTTCTTTAGGAGTTTGTTGATTGCAAATAAGGTTGAAGTGGTGATTTGCTCTAAAAATTGGTTGCATAATAAGAAACCAATAATAATTCGTCAATATTTGGATTAACTAGAAGTATTGGATTATTCACAAAAAGTTACAGTAACTAGGTATTAACGTATTTGATCTTTTTATTCATTTTCTTTTATTAGTTATTTTACGTCATTTAACTATAATCGATAAAGTCATATACTGTATTCTTATTTTTATGGGGAGAATGAATCGTGCAGTACAATTGCATATGCACGCCAATTAGTATTGACTTAAAGTATAAAATATTTCTGTCATCTTATTGTATTATATATATACAGAAATGATCT